GGGAGGCGGGTGGCAGCGGGTCGGGACCTGCTGCTTTCCTTCCATCCTTGTGTCGCTCAGAGCTTCTCTGCACAGGCTGAGACAGACAAACATCCAGCACTTGTGTGCAACAGCAATGCCTTCAATGCTTGTTTGCCTTCAAAAGACAGGAAATGCGAAGAATAAACTTAATATATGTATAATAAACTTCCAATAGAATAAATTAGGGAGAAACACTTGACACGTCTTTCTTCCCTGTGGCTGATACCTCGAGATGGAAATAAGTGGATTTATGCACTGCTTATCACTTGTATGCAGACTGTTCTGTGATTCGTGATGGACTCAGGCTGTTTGGGTCCGTAAGGAAAGTAAATCTTGGAGTAAAGGAGCTTCTTCTAGGACACTGCTGGTATTCCCAGTGTTCAAAGTAAAGTCTCGAGCAAAAGAGCAGTGGTCTTGTCTCTCAGACCTGTACTGTTTACTTAATTTGGGTGAGGCAGTGGAACACAGAATAACCTCTGTCCTTTTGTGTTTGTCTACTTCTCTTTATAAGGATATTAGCCAGCATTGTATAAACTCAAAAGTAAATATGAAGTGTAGGGTATTCCTGCCACAGGTCCCTGAGGCTAATGCATACCACAGCTACACCCGGTGTTTAGACTGTTGGCTTTAGGCCAGTGTTTAAAGCTGTGTTACACTTGGTCCTGGCTTTGTTTTCAGGGAGGGTTCAGAGAAGACTGAGCCAAGCTCTTTACAGTAGTGCCCAGTGACAGGATAAGAGGCAACATGCACAAACTGAATCATGGGAGGTTCCCTCTGAACATAAGGGAACACTTTTTTACTGTGAGGGTGACTGAGCACTGCCACAGTTTGTCCAGGGAGGCACTGAAGCTTCTCTCCTTGGAGATGTTCAAAAGCTACCTGAACATGGTCATAGAATCATAGAATTCTAGGGGTTGGAAGTGACCTCGAGAGATCATCTAGTCCAACACCCCTGCCAGAGCAGGGTCACCTAGAGTACATCACATAGGAACACATCCAGGAGGATTTTGAATGTCTCCAGTGAAGGAGACTCCACAACCTCCCTGGGCAGTCTGTTCCAGTGCTCTGTCACTCTTACAGTAAAAATATTTTTTCGGATATTCACCTTGAACCTCCTATGCTCCAATTTGCACCCATTACCCCTTGTCCTATCACTGGTCATCACTGAGAAAAGCCTACCCCCGCCCCCCTGACACTCACCCCTTACATATTTGTAAACATTAATGAGGTCACCCCTCAGTCTCCTTTTCTCCAAGCTAAAGAGACCCAGCCCCCTCAGCCTTTCCTCATAAGGGAGATGTGCCACTCCCTTAATCATCTTCGTAGCTCTGCACTGGACTCTTTCAAGCAGTTCCCTGTCCTTCTTGAACTGAGGGGCCCAGAACTGGACACAATACTCCAGATG